TGGTTTATTTGGAAAGCAGAACAATGACCTTATGTAACTTTTCGATCTGCAGTTGTTTCCATGACCAACCAGAGATTTTGGTTACAGATGTCTCACTTGTTTTTGATAGTATTATTGTTTGAAAGTAAATATTGTAGTTCAAATATGCTAAACGGAGTAGGCCTAAACTGATGAATCTCCTGTAGTAAAAAAACTGTTATCATTTTTAGTATTATTTTTTTTTTCTTTTTTTTTGGGGGGGAGGGGAGGGGCGAGGGGTGGAGGGTATTTTCACGATTTTTTGACACTTTAAAAGTTCTTTCTTTTGTAAAGTGAAATTTTTTTCAACTGAAGATTTTTATTTATGTTCAGTTACAATGCTAAATGGCTTCCATTATGATGTTATGGCCTCTGCTCCGAAGAGTTCTTCTGAATTATACTATCTGTCTAAGTAATATGGGGAGTTTTGCAGAAAAAATTTTTTGAAGTACTAAGGTGCCTTTTTGATTTAGAAATATGGATTTTTAAAGACTTTTTTCCATTGTACGTTTTTATTCATAACATTTTTTAACAGAGGACTAAAAGTCTGGGGATGCATTGAAGTTGAGTAGCAAATGCTACTAAATTGGTTATGTTGTTGCTGTCTGGTGACAAATGAAGGCGGTCTTGTTACATTGTTTTTATTTTTAAAACTGCAGAACTGTTTTTATTCGGTCATAAAAGTTTAAAAACTTCGAATTGTTCACAGAAAGTTAAGTCGTGGTTCTCTGCATCTACTAAGACTTAATCCAAGAATACTTTCTCAACTATATTTAGCGACGCCCACTGAACTGTCAGGACCTTTTGACGACATGCTGCTAACGGATTTGATTAGAGCAAAAGATACATTTTTTGCAGATTAGCGGCATGTTATAAACACATGGAAGCAACCTTTATGTCTTCAGCTACTGAACGTTTATCCCGTAAGACTCCTATTTTTATTTCTTCGTAAGGTTTCCCGAATGAGTCAGATCCTGGTTATCTTCCAAACTGACAACCCTTTGCGGATGGTTTGGCTGTTTTTTGATGGGAAAGTTCAGGAAGGGACAGCGAAAAACTCAAGCGGAATGCAGTAGAAAGAATGAAAATAGCATTGTTATCCTCCGTTTTTCTCTTGTTATTCTGTATGTACGTAATTAGACATGTAGCCAGCATCAGCCAAACGTACGTCTCTTAATTAAGCTACCCCGTTCCATATAGCGAAGCCCGTTGTTTCCAAGTGCTTCTTACCACAGCAGCATTCTACACACTGACCTGTGCGCGTCTGCATGTTCATGATTAAATCTGTTGGTAATGTCTTACTGCTATCCGTAAGTCCTCAGCCTAATGATTGGGATTTTCACCATTACATGAAGAAATGTTAGGTCCTTGATAGGGGTTAGCACGGTGAAAGTGTCTACTCGACTGCCAACAATTGGCGACGTCTCAGCTTTTTTGAAGAAAGAGCGTGTTCAAAGCCCCATTTTTCAAATATTTATTTGGGGCCGTCAACGTGCAAGATCTGCAAATTTTTTTCAGGGTGATGCTAAGAAATTTCCTTCGAGAAGTGCTGTATAACAAGCACTTTCAATTACGTTGCATTTCTCAGATGATCTCAAGGTTTTTTTCAGGAATTTTTAGTCATTATGTTTGTTCTATGCTTGAAGGACTGAGAAGAAAGGCTAGAAAGGTGGATATTCTACCGGCTTAAGATCTATCACAGTACTAGAATTTTTCTTTTTCTTCACATTATGGTCTTTTAAGCGTTTATAACCTTGTTATACGGGACTGAATTTAGCCAATTCTGAATTGTATAGCAAGATTTTGTGGTGTTTGCCGAGAAATGGTTACGAATAAAGACGACTGTAGAATTTTTTCCGGAAAAAGTAATTTATTCAGTACTTCTTACTTTACTAAAGATCCCAAAGCTTCTTACTAAAGAAGATCCCAAAGCTAGCAAATTTTCAGGTACAGGTTTAAATGAGATTTTCAGAGAGAATTATAATTCAAATGGTAGGTTTAGCAAAAGGCTGATGTAATAGAGAAGTTCAAGCCCCTCTTAGATGCAAAACCACCAAGGTCCCTGTTTGATGGCAAAGTGACTAAATACTTGGATATAAACAAATATTACAATAATTAAAGGTTGTTATTAAGATGGATGTTTTAGCGGGGGCGAGGACGCCATTTCTTATTTCTCGAGTTTGATTTTATAAGCTGTAACAACTAAACTCATGTCATTTTCATCCTTATCTGAAATTATCGTAATGTTTTAGTTTTTTGACTAATAGAGTCTGACTATGCTTCAAAAAGTCAAAAAGAGAATTTGAAAAAATCACTTTCTTGCTTACGCTTAAATGCAGCATACCAACAAAAGGAAAATACTTTTGGAAACCAGAGACTGTTAACACTACTGTGTGGTCTGCATTCTAAATTTAAAAATGATTAATTTTAGAATTTTGTGCAAAAACTGTCATAAATTTAGATGTATAGTGCAGGAACTTCTTTTTTATCAAGTGAAAATCTTCAGTTTATCAATTACTGTAAACCAGGCTGGTCTTATATAGAGGACTTCACTAGAGAATTCTAAGCAAAACAATTTTAGAAGGTTCACTTTTGAAACAGTTTCAAAATTCTATTGAATTTCTCTGCAGTCAACTTTTTCATCAAATTTCAAGTCTTTTGGCGAATTTCTAGTGTCAAAACCAATGCGTATTACGGCTAAACTTGTCATTCACAGTTTCGCAGGCGCATTCTGAAACCCTGGCCGTTAACTTCAGAAAAAATGCTATTTAACATGTGGCACAGTGTACACTTCATAGTATTTGAGGTTTGTAGCCAAAAAATCTGGTACAATTAGTGGAACTGGTACTTCCCGTCTCAGATCAAGTACAGAGAACGGTTTGTGTAAAAAACTTGATTTGCTGCATCTTTGTTAATTTTCTTTCACTGTTCACTTATACTATTTAGCAGAAACTTCGGGAAAATTTTCACTTCAAACCTGAACATTTTAAAAGCTGCATAGTTTTGTTATGACTATCTTTTTCGGGAAACCACTGACGCCGCCGAATTTCTTGCGCCATTGTAAAAACAGTAGCAGAAGGGTTTTTTTTTACAACTTTCGACAGCAACAGTCTTTGGCTGGGTAAAACTTGTTTTTTTTTTCTTTTTTGCAGTTTTTGTACTTCAGCTTCCGGTCAGCCGTTGATGACAAAAACTATGTTTCAAAACAAAAAGAGTTTGACGAAGTTTTTTTAATAACCAGCACAGTTGAGAAACTGTCACTTTACTGCTTGCAAAAACAAATGTAGAAACAAATTACAGTAAAGGCTTATGAATATTCAACCAACTGAATGAATGAACGAATAATTTGATAAAGAAATATAAATATATAAACATAAAAGTAGATATTCGTAGTTTTTTACTGTGATATATCGGCGAGTTCATTTGGAGGGATTTAAAAAAACTGGCTGCATTCTCCAAAGCATCATCATTCTCCAAATAATGCACACTGTTTATTCTTCTTTTGATATTCTTTGGCTGTTAGTGGATGATTTCGGTGTAACGATTGTTTGCCAGCTTTGCGAATTGTTTCATCTATTGCAATATAATTTTTTAACTTGTTCAAAAGCATTTTTTAGTTTTCTTTGCTTTCTGATTTGTCCACATCCTATTCCGTATTTTGTTGTGTTTTTTTACTCTATTTTTTCTATTGTTCACCAAATAATCTGAAGCGTGCTACTTACTCTCTAGACTGGCATCCATACGACATTGAATACTTTTGTACTTTACGAATTTGCCCTTATTTCCCGTCAACTTGATTGGCTGGTTCAAAACTTATACAGATTAAGCTAAAAAATTTTTTTTAGTGGTAGTATGCGTTTCTGTCCTTCCTGTTTCCTGTTTTTGCTGCATGAAGACTCTCTGAAGTTACTTAATGAAATTAATCTTTTTAACGAGCTGTTGACGTCACAGCCATTTTTGGGTAACAGGTGATAAACGCCGGTAAACCTTAGAAATCAAAATCGGGCGTTTTCTTCTCCTGCATCAAGGTGTCATAACCGTGCCGGTACTGCTGTTTATGAAACTTCTTTTTCTGTAAAGCCAATATTTATAGAATAGTTTTTCTGAGATTTATTAATTTTATGTGATTGCCTAATCGTGAATTAGTAGTTACGGGTTGTTTTAGAAAAGAACAACGAGTGCGGGCTAATAACTTTGTATTTAGGACTTCAGAAAATAATAATTATGCTGAATATGCCTAATGAAGGTGCAGGTGAATACAAAAACGGACAATTTTTTAGGGGCAGAAATTGTTTTTTATGTGGACAAATGCACCTTTTCTTAATTTTTCATGGGAATTTGTTCTTACGGTTTGTACTAAAACTTTAGACAGTAGTTAATTGTGCGTTATTAATGGGTATTTTTTCTTTTAGTTTTATGTGGCAATTAATAAAATTAAAGTATAACTCAAGTTTAAAACAGTATAACTGTAGTCTAAGATAAGCTGTCGTTTTTTTAGCTGCTCTTTTTTGCTACATATACAATTAATCCCTTAAATGGTTAGGACAAATGCCTAATATTGTCTTTTTGATCACATTTTAGATGTCTATTAAGAAATTCCCTAACTATGCCTGTTAGGTTCTAAGATAATTTAAGGGTATGATTTGAAACGAAAAACATGGCTATTCGTTGTCGATGGCAAGAAT